CGCATGCTGGACAGCATGATGGTGAAGGCAACTGACAGATGGCAGCAGCAGAGGTCCTGATAAGAATATGAAAAAAAAGCAACACCCGTTCAATTAGTGATCCGTGACCCTGGATGTTTAATGCAAACATGACCAGCAGGATGTAGTGGTAATCAATCAATTCCACTTCCCCGCTGCTGAGGACAGAACCAGAGGGATCGGAATGGCTGGAGCGTTGTGTACAAAACATGCACAACAACAATGGAAAAAAAACGTCCTTATTTGTTTTGTTTTGCTTTGAGAATTTCTTTCAGGACTTTGTTCCCTCACTTTGATAGATGACCACGGAGAGTGACAATAAACACGTGGAGAGGGAGATGATATATTGCAAAGGTCCTTGACTGGATTTGAGGCAGGATTTAGTGGCTTGGTGACACGGTACAGGCTTACACCACTAAACCCCCGGGGGACCCCCCATGGTGCAGTTGTCTGTTACACAAACAAACAGCAAAGCATCTTCATTGTGTTGCGGGTATTTTTGACACGTTGCGTTGTTGGCAACTTTGTTGCTGAACAGGTGTTTGAGGGATGAATGAAGATGTGACATAGATTAACAACTTGGGTTGTTGGAAGACCATTGTGCTGAAGGCCACTGCCGCCCACTGTGGGCGGATGCTCACATGGCCAGCAGCTAAAAATAGGAAAACAGGAAAAAAACGGGTGGCAGTTTGATGTATTCCCTCCACCTTGTTAACACACACACTTAAACATACATGTTCCCAGTTGTGTGACTTCACAGTCAGACATGCACATAACATAGCTTTGGATTTGGCTGAAAAAGGAATGGTTATATCTAGGCTGTGAACGTATTCTGGCGTTCCACAGTATTGAATTAGAATTGTACTTTATGAGAAATCAAATCTATAGCACCATTCTGTTAACAACCACCTGGAGTAATGAATGAGGGCGATTCGTGTCCTTGCACTCTTTAAGAGGCTTGCTGTAAATGACAGCTTTTACTTAATTCTTATCCCATTTCGACCAGATCCTTTGCATTCTACATACAAAGTAATATTTTCTTCTGAGGTTAGATCTGTTCACCTTTCCAAAGAAAAACCTGTCAAACTATTCCACGCAGCTGTTCACAGAGCTTTACACCCTCAGGGCCAAGCACCTCAGTATATTCCTGCAGGACAGCTAAACGGGGCGTGTGCAGAGCTGCTCAGTGATGAATTGATGACGATGTCTCTTATGTGCTGACAGCGTCAGAGGTAGGAGGTGTGGAGGGCAAGTGTGCCCACAGTGTTGTTCCGATGATGGAATGGACACATTTTATGACAAATTGAAGAGGGAAAATACAGCCAGCAGTGGCAGCTCAGGGGTGCAACATCCAGAGGTGTAGTCAGACAACTCTTTTAGGCCAAGATGAGAATACACTCAGTCCTGGTCAGAGGTATGGGGACCTTTGAATTTTAAGCACAATATTGTAAATATCTCTGGAAAATTCACATAAACCAGAAAACCGAAAATGCAAACAACCCCCCCAGATTATAGGAGAGAAGAGTTTTTCCACCTTTCTGGCGGCATCCAGGCAGCTTCAGCCCCACAGAGCACCTACATCAGGGAGTATTTGTGTGAGACCAGAATCCTCTGCTGCAAGTGTGGAGCAAACAACCGAAATCGATGGCTGTTGGGCTCAGGTTTGTTCTGTTCAATCAACGCCACTGCAACCTCCCATATCCTGATGCATGGGTCATCTGATTGGCGGCCAGTTCAATGACCATAATCAGAGAAAGTGGACACAGTCAATTACTCCTAATCATTTCTCTGTATTTTAATTAACAACCGCATCGTTAGCTGTTATGTTAATGATCTTGTTTTCTAGTCGCTGTATATGTCACTGACTGTATGAATTAGTGTCCCTAAGCACATATTCTACCCTCTTGCTAATGTCCAGGACTGCCAGGGTCCTGAAGGTGGTGTTTGACTCCTGCCAATGCCCTTGCCAGACTATGCAGAAGCCATATTTACAGATCAGGAGAATACCAAAGGAACTGACCTTCGAAACAACAAAGCCCACAGGGGTAAGAAGTAGGCTATCTGTACACAAAGACTCTGTTTAGTCAATGGGGCCGCATCGATCACTTTTCAGAGGAAGGAAAGAACGTGGAAGGGAAATCAATTACACATATGCAGAGCATAATCAAATTTTTGGAAAAGTGCTGACCTAAGGGGAACTGCTCAAGTGACACACATGTAAGTTAAACAGAGATATATTGTGGTGGGGACTGTTGGAGTGGAATAAGAGAGAGAGAGGTACAGTAGATGGGGAGAAAAGAGTGTGGACAACCTGAGGAATATTTAGGGAAACAAAATATATCTGTATAAGTTGTTTCAGAGCAAAGAGTGGGCGAAGCATCATGTATTGACAGCAAATCGATGGGTGTTGAGCTAGAAATGTACAGTGTATCTCAGTGGTATATCCCTGGCTCCAGTCTCTCTCAAGTGCTTAAGAGAAAAGGCTATCCTGTTGTCCTCAACAGATCAGGTTACTTGCTGTGGGTCAAATGAAGATTCTCAAATGGTTTGTTACTTGCTACCTTTGAGGTTTGAGCTGCTTTGCTTGTATAATGGGCGACCACCATGCTACGGTGTGTCAGGTCTGTTTGTGTCTCTCTTCAGTCTTCTCACTTCACATCCAGTCAAGGTAAATTACCATTTCCCCAGTGTCTGCCACTGACAGAGGTCTACTTTTGGTAAATGGGGTTTTTCCCTTCCTCTGTCCCCGTCAGACCTTTGCATGCTCATGATACAAAGGACTGATTAAAAAATGGAGATTAGATGTGATCCCTTAGTTTAAAATAAAATTAAAACAAATTGGACTGAATTGGAATAGTATGATGTTGCTTGTGCTGGATGGTATTTTGGGGTTGAACTGGAATATAGACTTGAGAGGACTGTGCTGAAGTACCTGTGTTTCTCTTGAAGCACACAGTTAAACATTGTGGGGGAATTTGGGTGGTGGTGGTTATGAATAAAGCGTATTTTTCTTAAAAGAGCACAGTCGTCTGCAGCCTCGCAATGTGAACACACGGGCTTTATTCTGCATTCAGAATCAGAGGCTCCACATTTCCTGCTCGTTCCACTGAAAAAGTTCCCTGCTGCAGTGTGTGCCCATTTCTTTTTTCTTTTTGTTGTTGCTCCCGTCCCTTCAGCTGGACCTGATGTGCCTTTCAAAGATAACATTATTCAGTCGTTATTTATTGCGCATTTCACATCCTTTCTTTCTCGCGTTCACGTCTTGTACTTCTTCGCTGGGCTCTCTTGGGGCGCGGATCACGGCTGCGGCTCTTCCGGACTCTCGTGGACTCTCGTGGACTCCTCCCGGGCTCCTCCGGACTCCTCCCGGGCCCCTCAGGGCCCCTCCTGGGCTCCCCCGGGCTCCTCTCCGGCGTGCTGCAGCCCCGGTGCTCCTCCTGTTGGGTGGTGCTCGGCGGGACGCTCCGCAGTCCGCCCGTCCCGTGGCTTCCCGCCGCCTCTAGCGTCTGCAGCAGCAGCAACAGGGACCCGGTCAGCCCCCCCCTGAAGCTTGTTCCTGTTTCTTTTTCTATCTTTTTTAGGGTGGGGGGGTGGGGGGTGGTGAGGTGTTTGTGGAGGAAAGCACTGTTTCCAGTGTTCGAACGGCGGAACAGCACCGCTTCAGTTCATGCCACCGCATCTAGAAGGAGCCCTCTCTCTCTGTCTTTCTCTCTCTCTCTTTCTCTCCATCTCTCTCTCTCTTTCTCTCTCTCTTTCTCCTCCTCTCGCTTTCAACACACCGTGGGACGCGCGTTGTGTGCGCGGCGTCCGCGGAGTGCTCCCTTCAGTCGTGGCCGCTTAACTCCAGTGGGGGGGATCCCGGCTCCCTTTTCATCCTCTTCTCCAAGAGGAACGAGAGGAGTTTGCATGCAAGAGGTGGTTTATCGCGGCAAGGTGAGACGGACTACCCTCGCGGGATATTATTTTTTGTCAGTCTTAACATTACTTTAAACTGAGTCGAGGGCAAAATTCGCGGGCTGTCATCACACAGCGCGTGGACTGATAGTGATGGTAGGTGGTTGTGAAGGCATCAAAATCGCCAGCTAGTGAACAGATAGTGTAACAGGTTTGCTGCAGTGCTTTTTCACCTATAAAATCCAGGCACATGTTGTATTTGTAGATGTGGTTTCATACTGTCCCCCATCAGTTTTTCTACACATCACCTCTCGTTCACTCAGTCGGGCTGTAAAATTAGCTTAGGCAGAGCTAAATGTTACTAAAAAATCTGTTAACGAACGACGTCACGTGGAAAATAGTCCCATTCCCAATTAAAGTCGAGTTTATCACGAAAACGCGTGTAGTTCTACTTTTTAAACGCTGAATTTAAAAAGAAAAGACCACCCCCCCAAAAAAGAAAAGCATGCTTATAATTAGGAGTTTAGGAGAAAATTAGTCGCAGCTGCGTTCAGGTTCACGGAGTTTTTCTTTGCTGTTTGACAGGGGTTTAGAAATTGCTGTCAAATGTGAATTCCGTAATATTTCGGACACGTGACCGAGTGTCAGAGCTGCTTGTTGTTTTCTTTGGTGTTGCAACACACGAACTGATGCTCCAGCTCGAGTTAATAGCCTTTAAACTACCAACGCTGGAGTAGAGAGCAGAGCAGCCATGTTGGCTATTTAAACAGTATCAATGCTTCTAGCCTAAAACCTCCTCAGAAATGTGATGAACGGGATCGATAACACCTGGCAGCCGCTATTTTGACTAATGATGGGCGGTAACAGGTGGCTCCAGGACATGTGGAAAGTTTTCAACGACTCAATAAGCCACAATCTCACACTCTGTCTCCTTCTCTCCGCAGCCATGGAGGGACTTGCCTAAGGAAGATCCAACATAACTGAAAGGTTTTTGATTTTTTTAAAAATTCTTTTGGAATTTACTTTTTTCTGTGCGTGTTTGCGTCTGCGGGACGTCTGGTCAGAAGTCCCCCCCTTTCCCCGTCGCCATGGCTGAGAAGCTGGGACCGGCTGGGCCTAAGCCCGCCAGCGTCCGCCCTGCGCCCTCTCTGCCCCCCGAACCCATAGACATCATCCGCACCAAAGCCCGCTCCCGCAGAGTCCGCCTTAACGTCGGAGGCCTCAACCACGAGGTGTTGTGGCGAACCCTGGACCGGTTACCCAGGACCCGACTTGGCAAGCTCAGAGACTGCAACACCCACGAGTCCCTGATGGAGATATGCGACGACTACAGCCTGAATGAGAACGAGTACTTTTTCGACCGGCACCCGGGGGCGTTCACCTCCATCCTAAACTTTTACCGCACGGGCAAGTTGCACATGATGGAGGAGATGTGCGCCCTGTCTTTTGGCCAGGAGTTGGACTACTGGGGGATCGACGAAATCTACCTGGAGTCCTGTTGCCAGGCCCGCTACCACCAGAAGAAGGAGCAGATGAACGAGGAGCTGCGCAGGGAGGCGGAGACGCTGAGGGAGAGGGAGGGAGAGGGAGAGTTTGATAACACCTGCTGCCCAGACAAGAGGAGGAAACTGTGGGATCTCCTGGAGAAGCCCAGCTCCTCTGTGGCTGCCAAGGTAGGGATCCTAAACTGGAGGGGGGATCACACCACCCCAGTTTCACATTCCCTGCTCACAAATAAAGCCCAACACCCTGTTTGGAGCACTACACATTGCAGGCATGCTAGCTCAGGAGCTACTCCCACTTGTACAGTGAGCCATGAATGCATCAGCTCCAGTCTTGTAGAGCGGGGAGCCGCAGTCTGAGCTAAAGGATCGACGGTAATGCTGTTGCAGGATACAGACGGAAAAAAATAACCCAGATTAGCAAAAGTTGGGGGGAAAAACTTGTTTCTAAAGGTGTGCAGATGTCTCTCTCAGCTTAAAGTGGGCTGCTGCCGGCCGACCGGCGGCTTAAAGGGAATGTTTTACGGAGGGAGACAAGCCTCCTGCCTTGTGCAGCTGTGTCATTTTTCCGCCCTGCTGATCAGATCTGCCTCTCCGTGGGTATGACTGTGAGTCATGGAAACTACAGGATGATGTCAAAAGTTTGCCACAAGTCCTCAGAACAACACAGACCCTTAATAGATTGGCTAAATTGGATTTCATGGAGGGGAAGCTTGTCCATGCTGCTCATTTATGCACGCTCCACTGTTTAGAAAACAGCTCTTATCGGCCGGTAAAATTGTCATTCACACCTATTCCCACCTGACAAATCCTCCTCCTCTAACTCCTCCCCACCAAATCCCCACTCTTTCTCAGGCCTAATTTAGGCAGGTCGGCCTTTGAGAAATCCAGTTATTGGCATTTTGTGTCAGTCTCCAGTATCCTTATCTCCGCACCAAGTAGAAGGGATTGTATTCCATGTCTGCAGATCATAAACGGGGATTGAGTGTGCTCGTGCGCCTATACGTTTGTGTGTCGGCCTCTGTGTAACGTTATCCCTTCCATGAGAGAAATATAGCTTCTGACATCCTCCACGTGTGTGGTTGCCTGTGACAGTTTGGAAATTATGCCAGATTGAGTTTCAGATCACCGAGGCTAAAATTATAGAGATATTAATAATTTAAATGGTAAAAAAAAGATACAGTAATGAGTCCAAACGGATGGGGTTCAGCTCTTTTAATAGGCTGTTGTATGTGCTTTTTCCTCCCTTCAGTATTATTTCCGCACGGCTCATATTCCCTGAACCAACCGGTGATTGTGATGGACAAGGATCCAGTCTCAGCCTGAAAGCGTTCGTCCTGTGTAGGGAAGCGCTGTATGTGACAAATCAATTAGAGGGAGGCTGCCAATGTCTAGATCAGGGCAAACTCAGGTGACGGTTGGATTAATTAGATATTCTGTGTGGCTATAAAGTGATTTACCCTTCAGCGCGGTTCGTTTAGAGAATCGCTGACCTGTACGCTCTCATGTGGGGGAAGCCTGTGAATCGGTAAAGGGAAATTCCATCCTAATTCAAATTACATTAGCATTCTGCTGACTGCCCTACAAGGCTGTTCTCAGCTAAAGTACTGTTCATTTAGAGGTGGAGTGCCAGGGCTGCCTGACAGTCTTATTGCAGCTCCCCGAGGTCAGGGAAGCCTTTTATGGGGCGCACCTCGTTCAGCGTGATCCCTTGAAAGCCCTCCACTAAAGGAATGCCATTACCAGACTGGTGCACAGCCATGTGCTTTTATACAAAGCAACCCGAAAGCCTTTGTCAGATACAATCACAGTCTCATAGCGGAGACCTATCGCCCCTTTTCTCTCGTCTTTTCAATCCCCCTCTTTTTTTTTCCCTCTCGCACAGTCTTCACGAAATGTTAGAGGCAAGTCTGCCGCTCTAAGCCACCCCTGACCCTTCTTGGCCTTTTAAATGAAGGTTAAGCGTGAGGGCGCTGACCTTTTCAGCGGGTTCAATCAAGCTAAGAGTTCACTTATCGGCGTTAAGCCCTGAGAGTCCCGGGGAAGGAAGATGGGAGCCGAGCCTCCTCTGCCCTGAAGCTAGTCGCAGGAAGCCGTAGAGCGGGAAAGCTACAAGTGAGGCAAGAGAGACGTGAGAGGGGAGTTGGCAGAGGAAAGCCCTGAGTGATGTAAGCCTGCAGTCACCTAAGTTACGCTCAGGTCGCTGACCCGGGTGCTGGCAAACCTTTCCCAATGAATTATGAATAAAGCGGTCAACAGAAAGATGCTCTGTTGGTTCAGCATCTGTCAGTTCTCAACATCCGCACGATTCTCTCGTCCGCTGAGCAGTCCTGTGGTCCGGAGCTGCCCTGTCCTGCCCCCCCCCCCCCCCCCCTATTTCCTCTTGCCCTTGTAAGCATGCTCCTGCACCACGGCTAGGGTGGCACTGAGCTCCGGGGGGGAGATTTGAATAAAAACGCGTGTTCCTGCTCAAAATGCCTTCTCTGTTTTCGTAGTTAGGCTTTAACTCGGAATTAATCAAACACCCTCTTTTAATTGATTCAGTTATATTGGAAGGAAAGTCATTTTGTTCTTCTAAACAAGAAGTACATGTTACAGTGTCTAGTATTTCTGCACTGTGGCTACATTTTCGATTAACCTTTTAAAGCCAAATCCAAGAAAGAAAATTATATTTTTTTGTTTGAAGTCTTTATTTTGCCTTTTTAACAAAATCTGGAAAAAAAACTTCACAAGAATAATTTTTGAGTATTCATTGTTTATTGCCGTGCGATAAGTCTACATTATTGTCGCGTAGTTTTCCGCTGTTATAAGGTATATCTGATTGTGTACAACAGGGTTTTGAGCAAAGTTTTATACTAAATGGCAAAAGGTCTCAGATGCTAAACATTTCAGAAGCTGTGTGTATCAAATAGGATACGTATGACGTTATGGGGTTAATCCAGCAGAACGTGTCCTCCTTTATGTGTAGCCAGAAGGTCTTTTGCATCTGTAACCTCTTTTGTTTACCATGAGTCACGGATCTTGTAGCACGGCAAATGCACTTAATATAAGTAAGCCATATCAAAACTGCCTAAAGAAATCCAAACAACCTCATGGAAGTGTGTTATACCTATCACACAGACAGGGATCTCACTGTTTGGGACTTTCAATTTGTTAATGCAAATGCAGTTTGTAGCCTGCTAGTGTTTTTCCTCTCTTTTTTCCACTTTGTGTGGCCTGAAATGTGAGTAAATCCTTCGGATTAATTTGTTCTAGAGCTGAAATGAGCTCAGTAATAGGCGTACCATATATGATGTGACCTTACAAGGCACTTTTTACACAGCTAGCAATTTAGAGGGTGCAGATAATAAATTGAAGCCATTACCTTTGGCATGGAGCTCGGTTTTAATGTGCAGGAGTGGTATATTTTTTTGTGTGTATTATGGGTTTCACCCTTTCAGTGTATTAGAAAAATTAAATGAAGCTTCAGGTCACTTGTCTGTTGCTGTTCTCTAGGTCTTCCTTCTGTAATAGACTTCCCTAGAAACTAATGGCGTCTGTTGTGTTTTAAAGGGATCCATGTTTCTTTCTGTCCCCCCCACCCTCTCTGCCCAGACAGCCAGCGTGCACACCCACCCCCCCTCGCACACCAGCCATGTCCAGCCCTGCACTTGCTCCTAATGTGGATGTGCACCATTACTCTCCTCTTTATCTAATAAGCTAGTCTAGCTTGTGGAAATCAGCAATGGGGCTGCATGGGCGCAGCCTCGTGCCGTTTGGTCCTCCCACGCTCGGAAGCAGCCAAACTCCCTCTGCCACAGACACTGTTGATGATGATTAGAAGATATGAGGAAGGTACCGTTAACTGGCGTCGCAGTGCCGTTTTTTCAGAGTCGCTAACACACCCGGTTCACCCCCCTGGCTTTGTCTTGCAGTCTCATTTACGGAATAACACACAGATGGAGAAAGTGAGAGTCGGGAAGTGTGAATGATGTTAACCTAACTGTGGCAGGAGCTCACTCCATTACGCGCTGCTGTGCTGTGGCTCCGCAGCATTTAGGTCTCGTTTCAGAGCGGGGCCGTCAGCCTCTTACCATCCGTCCCTCTGCTTTCTCCCAGCCACGAAAGCACTGAAGCAAACGTTTGGCCTCGTGTGTTCACAGTATGTGTGTGATATGCTGTCTACTTTCAGACCGCAGGCAAGTCAAAGAGGTGGAGAGGTGAGCTGGGAGAACAGAGCGTAAGGTTTCTGTTCCGCTTTCAGCCGGAGCGTGTGCCTCTGGGTCCGAGTCGAGCAGCAGGCTCACTGGCTGCTGTTCCCTCCGTCGCCCCGTTATCTCTGCATGAACTGGGCTCAGGCTTTGAAAGGGTGAAAGCAATATGCACAAACTTTATGCAAAGGAAAAGCTAAAAACCTGTTTGGCAAATGGATTTTAGTCGCTTTTTTCATGTCAGACTTAAGCCTCTGTACATAGGAGATGAGCGTAAGCCGGTCCTTAGCCTTCAGCAAGTCATCGGAATACGATGCAGGAGCAGAGTTTAGGAGGAGCACACCTTCTCTCCTCCTGTTGTCTCATTGTTATATAACCCTTCCTGCAGGACTACTAATCAGTACAGCCTAGCATTTAGGCACCAGCACCTAAATCCTCTTTGCTGGCATTCATAATCAGATAAGAGAGGACCTCCTAGATTATAGGTGGCATGAGTTCTTATGGCCCCGGCATGGGAATTGAAGCAGCTGCATTTGTCATCTGGATGTTCCAGGACACGCTAAAACCCAGTCCCTCACTGACCCATGCCTTTTCTTTTTTGCCCCCAAGTCACCTGCATCATTTTGGAACATTTTTCTCGAAATACACAGTGAATTCAGCCTCTTATCCAAGATGTGGCGATGGCCGACTTTCAAGTGACAAAAGCCCAACTTTTGGTGACATTTATATGGTATTTTCATTGAACGGGGGCTGTTTTTTCTTAATAAAACCATTTTCAAGGTGGGTTTGGCTGCTTAGTCTAAGCAGGGATCTCCTCATATAGCCAATAATACTGCTTGAATTTAGTCTGTAACTAAACAGCCAATCCAAATTCCCACACAACAGCAACATTACACATACACTAGACGGGTCAGCTTATGGCTAACTCTTATGGAGTTTAAGTGGTAAAATATGAGTGAGATCCATAGAATCTTGCAAAGTAGCTGATGATTTTCTTTTTTTTTGCTGCATCCAACACCACCTGCGCCTTGGATGCATGTTTTTTTTTTGTTTGTTTTTTTTTAAAAAGGGATGCTACTGGGAGAAAGTGATTATCTATACAGCTCATCTCAAAAAAGGATTTTTTAATTTCAAATGCTCCCAAAACTGCGCTCATGTCAGATTATCCCTTTACTCTGAGGCTGGCGAGGGTCACATGTGAAATAGATGCAGTCAGGTGGACTTGGCTCTGTTTTGAGTCAAGGTGAATTAAATCAAATAACTTAAAAGTTTTACTCACCGGAAGGGGGGATTTTGGTAGGCATCCGGAGCGATGCTAAGGAGAAACACTAAATGAAGGAAGAGGAAAGTTGAAATCCAGAACTCCTTTTTACAATGTGTTTACATTTTTTATCTTCTGTCAGGGAATGCACTAAATATATTGTGTTTTTTTTAACTAATCGAACTAAACTGCTGCTATTTTTAATTCATTATTATTGTTATCATTATCATCATGATCAGCGGGGTCTTGCTGATAGATGTCACTGGCCGAAGCTTGGGAATAATCTTAAATATCTTCTCCTCACTGTTAAGCTGTGAAAAGGGAAAACTGTGTGCTGAGGATGGAAAACTCCCTTTCAAGCCAACATCAAGTGTAAACAACGTCTGCAGTACAAGCCTTTGCTAATGAGAGGACAGATGGTGTGAGAGGACCGATGGCTGGAGTCTCAGAAGTAATTGTACTGCCTTCCCCAGAACATCCCCTCAGAGCAATTTCTGGCTAAACTAGCCTTTTACAAATGCTGCTACAGCTAAGGAGCAATTTCATGAATGATTAACCTGTCTTATTATTATTTTGGCAGTTAATAGTTTACGTGGGAATGAAAACTGCAGTCCGAGGTGGTGTCATCACGGAGCTTGTTAGGTGACAAACTTAAAGATGTATCATATAGCATACAAATAGCTGGAATAATAACTGTTTATGTTGTTTATGACACCTTGTTTTGATGGAATACTTATGTACAGTATTGTGCACTAAGAAATCTCCAATTTGAAGTTAATTTGCATGGTTTCCTAAACAAATGAACCAGTTTTTTAATAATCATGTTTTAATGTTTGTTGCCAGTGATGATTAAGGAAAGCCCAATATTTACCCAAATTTTCTCCCATTTAGTTTTAAACGGACAAGAAAAGAGCTAAAAACTGGTACCAAAAACTCACTCGCGCGTGGGAACCAAAGGATGACTCCACAGCTACTGTGGATGAAAGGAGCTTCATGAAATCGCAGGATAAGGTCGACAAAAGCGGAAAAAAGAGTCACCACGTTAAGGAGATGAGAACGAGTGTCAGGATTCAGACAATCACAGGTTCTAGAACAGGAAGTAAGTGAGACAGGATGCACAAGAAAAACAACTTCTAAGATAAAACCGGGAATGACTGAGGCTGGCAGGGGGAAGTAAATGTCCCACAACCTTTAACATTTCATGCACACTGTTTTTACAGCTTCACCCCATCTCACAGAAACAGTGTTATCTGCACCTAACTGATCACCAACAGGAAAGAAAGCTGGAAGCGATTGAAAGTCTCCAAAGACGAGGTAGCTCACGGGGGCTGTTGCTCCTCTTCACACGGCACCAGCACCACTTTAACTCTGCTGCTTCCACAAAACCAACAAGGAAACTGTCAGAGATGTCTTTTGTCTCTTTCAATCAGCAAAACAGACCCAAGGAATGCAAACCAGCCCAGAATTCCTGCTCTGCCTGCCATCTGAATGAGACGCGAACCCCCCTGAACGCCGGCTGTGGGCGGCCCGGCAGCGGGGCTGGCATGTGCAGCTAGCTTGAGGGACAGCCTGTATAAGAGGCTAATGTGTTTCTTCCTGCCCCTGCCCTCCTCACGCACAGCCCGGCCCCCCCACCCCCCGCCTCCACCGCCTCCCGGGACGTTTGTTCACCCCGTGTCCTCCTATTTCCTCCTCTCAGAGGGCATCGGGAATATGGGGAGATGGAGTGGGGACGGGGTGGGAGAGAGTCATCATTCTGAAGGCTGTGAACACCAGGTCTGTATTACGTGCTTCAGTGATCCACCTTCACACACAAGTACACACACTCATAGGCGGGGGTACTCTTAACTCCAAGCCGTTCTTCCACAGAATACACACATTGTCCCCTCTGTGTGGACAGAACACAACGAACAACCCTCAACTTCCTCTGCTTACCCCCCACGTCCTGTCATCCCTCTCCTTTTTTTCCCCTGTTTCTTCTGCACATTTCTGTTTAGTCATGGAATGAAAGCTTAGCTCTGCTCCAGTTTGCAGATCCATCTCCACTCTGAGAACAGAGGACTTTGTCAACGTTCATTGGGATTTTTTTTAAAAACTTTCGGCTCTTTATCAGTTATGTTCATGGTTGATCACCAGTGGCTGGAGGAGTGCTTGCCAGCCACTTCCACACCTCTTCCTGTGGAGCAGCAGCAGCGTGGAGGTGGCTGCAAGCTAGTGAGGGAAAAATCAACTTGGATTTTACCGTGATAAATGACCAAACGCCTTGAAAAATTACAAAAGTAGAGAAAAAAAACACAAATGTCCATCGACAGTACTTAAAAATACATGACCTTCTTGAATGGCTGGAGTGAAGTTCTCAAAGGCTGTAAAGAAGAAAAGAAAGGAATGGGTAATCAACTTTGATTTAGTAGTTTCCACAGAATATTGTGTTTGCATAGTTTCCATAGTGACCATGGTGTGCCATGGTGACTTATTGACACCCAGGGAGCCATTCCTCTCTATACAGGCTGTGTGAGATGCAGAGCAGCTGGTACCTCAGCCCCCACAGCCAACCCCTGATGCAAATCTCAGGGAAACGCTTTTCCACTTCTGAAGCAGCACCCTTCAGGTCTCACTGACTGAACTTGCTTTAAAATGGCATGTTTTTAATTGGAACGCTTTCTGCTTGTGTCATTTACAACAAATGGATCCCGCTCCACTCATAGCTTTTCCATGTTTCAAGCTCTAGTGGCCTTCATCTGTTTGAAAGTCGGTCTGAGGAGCAAAGACTAGCAGTTAAAACATTTTTTTTTTGTGAACGTGTGTGAATGTGTCCCAGCTCTCCAGGCCAATCTAAGGGTCTCTGGAGCATTAGCAGCTGAACGAAGGCTTAGTTTGTAGGATAGAAGAGATTAATTAAAAAACCTTGTTCTGTGAAGGAGCCTCTGCAGACGTATAAAGAAAAAGAAACAGAGCAGAGCAGTGAGGTTAAAAACGACTGAAGCCACTTGTTAGCCCCATTGATTGTAGGTTACACTGCGATTAGTCATCATATGTTCTCCCCTCACTGCTACCTCCACCTTAACCTCCCCTTTTCTTCTCTCGGCTCCTCTGTCGGACTGCCTCCATTTCACACACCCTCTTTCCCTCACTCTCGCTTTGCCTTTTTTTCGTCGTGCCGTTGGCCTCACTGTGGGGAGGGCTGCCAGCTGTTTGCTGTCGCCCTGCGCCCCAGGAAGTGACAGAGGAGATTATTATACCTGCTGCTTTTTTGTTGTGTAACATGGCCCCCCCGCGGGATGTGATGAGTGCCCGGAGTGCCTAATCTCTGGGAACAGTAACTCATCATTTTTTTCACACCAGGCATTCGAGGGGGGTGCAGGTTTCGCCGGCTTTTGTGCCCATCGCACTCTGACTGATACGTCGCTTTATTTTTTAGTATAGACAAACATATAAAGGCCCCAAATAGAATTGTCCATCTGCGTCAGGCAAGGTGACAAGAAGCTGGGATGCTGTCTCCTCTCTCTGCGGTGTGATTGTAATCAGCAATCAGCTTACTGCCAGGGGAGGAAGGAACCTGACTGTCTTTAGGTCGAATGGGGACAGGGACACACATTTAGAACCTGTGACCTGTGGCAGTGTTAAGAAGCCAAGCGGTAGGCCAGAGGATCAGCGTCTGACAAAGCTGAGGGAGTAGATTGCGCCTTAGCTGGCGCTACTGTCCGAGGGCAGATGCCCACCACGTAGACAAGCCCACGAAACAAGAATGCGTCTAAACGTTAGTAAAGTAGGCCGCGTCCTATTCGGAGTACCGCCCCAGGCATCAGGGCGCAGATTGTCATTGTTTTCTGATGGACTGCTGGCAGTTGAAGGAGGATCTGTCCTCCAGCGCGACAGGAACAGGGGAAGTTTCAGCTCTTCTGGGTGCTGACATTTGGATGAAGCCTTGCCAATCGATAGGACAAGGCTGTGGTATTGACCGGTGTGCTGAAAGGCCCACCTGTCTCATCAGTGGAGCATCAGTGCAGCCTCAAACTGTTTATTTCCCTTTGTCCTCCCTCAGCTACAGGAGCTATTATGCATTTATGTCTAAATTATTATATTTTGGGCGGGATCTCTGGCCCTTTTTTTTGCACGTTTTTTGACTGGGAGTCACTGTTTACGCCCCTCTGTGAGGTCAGCATCTCTTGAGTGGAATGTGCACCTTCAGCCTTTTTCTCTGGCCTCCACCTTCTGTTAGGGTGTTGCAATCATTCACCTGCACTCCCAAATCACTTGTTACCTGAAGTGCTTGAGAGAAAACAAGATCATAAAGAGTAACGGGTTGATGGTGGGATCCCTCGTGCGCTGTAAAACCAAATGATGGGAATCAAGGTCTAGCATTGACAACAACACCCATGAGCAATAATGCCTGGAAGTAAATTCAAATATGTTAGGCCATTTTACGTTTATTTGACACTACGATGCATGTGGGATCCTTTCAGTGCCTTTGCTGTTGCCCACACACGCTATAAAGAGCTGGTGAATACCTATTCCTGTGAGATCGAGGAGTTTGTGCCACTACAGAGAGCCGGAATGCTGGTCGTGACAGGGTTTCTGTGCCACGTGTGTTGACTGTACTTTTTTTGGACAGAGTCAGTTTTTTGCTCATACCTATCATATTCTGTAGAACAGAATCGTGCATTTCAGTAACGTGGGGGCGATACGGGGTTCAGTCTGTTGTGTCTAAAGAAATTGACTGAGTTTGGGTTCCAGAGCTAGCTGGGTACTTCAAAAGCCTGAAAAAAACATACTTTTAGTGTTTCAGAAGTAGTTTAGTAACCCAGTAAGAAAAAGATGTTTTAAATATTCTAATTTACTTGGAATAAGAAAATTCTGCAATCAAACGTGCAGAGGAAGACAACATAATGTTGGACAGGAGAAATGCTGAGAAAGTAAATGATTCTGAGAGGAAACACCTGGAGGATCATTTTTCAACTTATTAGATTGACTGGCAGCATGTCGGTGACATATTTAGACATAAAGAGGTCACCTTGGAGAGGCAGAGTCTCTCAGAAGAAATAATGGGGTTGTACTTTAGCAGAGCTATACACCCTGTCCACCACAAATAAATCATAAATGTGCCGGGGTCACCGTATTGCCAGCCTCTCTGCTGATGTGCACGTCAGCATAAGGGACTGTTTTATAGAGCCTTCTTCACATCCGTGGTGAAGATGTTACACAGAAGCATAAATTGAGCTGAAGCATGAACACACCCACATCCACGTTTATGCTGAGTGCGTCCAAAACCCTCAGCTCTCACCTAACCTGGACTGCGTAAATGATCTGTTATTTTATGGGCCAGTACCTTATTTGTAGGTGTATGGTGTTAGCTAAGTAAACTTTTGTTGTAAAAATATCTTTGAAGGCTAGAGACACTCAAAGACGATTTGATTATGAAAAAAAAGGATTAAAATATGAGTAGTCCATCTCAAGTGGTATCTTTTCCTAATGGTAAAGATGCAGCGTAAGGCAGTTTACATTATTCATCACATAGCATTCTAATTGGCATGTAGTTTGTCATGAATAATCCAGATTCTTATGCAAAAAAAGCGTCTGACACAGATGGCCGGAGGAAAGAAGTGTACTGATAGATTCAGAAAAAATATGTGAAAAAAATTATCATTAATAATGGCAAAGTTCATAAGAGGCGAAAAGGTACATTTCTTTCTGTGTTCCCGTTCGTTCCCGTTACATCGGTTTTGTGTGATTCTTCCCTGATCATCCAAACCCAGCGTGAGTCTCAGCGCTGCTGTGCTCCCACTCTTACACTACTGGGGCTGGCAGCTTTCTCTGGCACCAGCCCAAATAAAGATTTTTGAAGTATACTTGTTTTGCAATAAATCCCTCTTAAGTAGCGAGACAATATCTAAAGGCCACCTAAGACTGAAGTATCCTCGGGTTCCCCCTCCTGTTCCAAAGTAATGAATAAGGTGTCTAAAGGGGAATGATATACTTAGCTTGATGGATGACTGTTGATACAGGCCAGAGGAGCACATGCCTTCGTCACGTTCCCAGTGCAGCTAGCCATACCGTGTTCAGGCGGTCGTTTCTTCCAGTTTGTTCTCCAAACTGAATAAATGTTGCCATGATTATTTTTATTCTACAGGTAGGAACAATAAAGCTTATTAAAATTATCCAAAATACAAATTGGCTGTCAGTCCCACCTCATTACACTGTGCAAATAATGGAAAAAAAGAAAGAATAAAATAATTACATCAAGGGCTAAGTCTTATTTTCTCCTCTCCAGCTATTCTCAAAGAGATTAGAGAGGTTTCATTTAACCATATAGCCGCGTTATGGATGGGTAAAGGCTAATACGGATTATAATGCGAGGCATTAAATCATGTAAAGCAGTTATTCATCCACCCATGGATATGAGAGTCATCTTTGTTATTACTTCAATATGTATTTATTCCTTTTCTTCACCTGCAACAACTGATGAAAGCTTGGCTTTTAATCCTAAACTCAGCTGGATATTATGGGATTTATAGGCTTCCGGAGTGACCTTTAAGATGGTGTAAGTGTATCGGGAGCTGGAAGGCTCTGCTGAGAAGTCGTTCCACACATTTCCAACTAATGATTACAAATGATAAAAAAGTCACACCATCAATGGACAGTGATCAGTTTAATATTTTTTGGAGGACAGTTTGATAAATGAATTATTCCATTATTTACTAAGTGGGATGTTTTCTTATCGCTCCATTTTATGGTGAATTCTTCTCCTGGGTCTTGCGTCCGAGTTTATGATGATTTTAGTGCTTTTCACAGCTGATGAGTCACCACCGAGTTAGAGGAGAGCATCTTGGGAGTCGTGGAAAAGTTGGTTTCCAAGGAATGCCGCTTATGTTAATAGTTTAAAAGTTCGATAAATATTGATATGAAAACGTTTACCATTTTGGTGGATGAAGCAGAGGCCCCCGTTTAATCACTGCGGAGCAGCTTGTCATCGTAAATATAAAAAAAGAGAGAAAAAATACTATTACTGCACTTTCCTAATTGAAAGTCAAAGTCTGCCTCCTGCTTGAAATGATTAACTCTAGGGAGATAAACCCAGCCTGTTGTCTTCCTGACATGCAGACACATAACCTGATGTGCTGCTTCCCTAATCCCTCTCTGACGACACCACAAAGTCTTTGGACAAAATTTGGGCCCGGTGACGCGGCGTCCCGCCTGCTTGTCATGATGCCAGTCACAGGCTCATGATGCTGGAGAATCAATTAGAGACACAGACACATATCTGATTAAGGCTAAACAAGGTCAAAGGAAGGCTCATTAAAGCTGCTGCCTGTTTTTATCTGTGCCTGAGATGGATTTAGAAAAACGGGCTTATTTGGGTATTGCTGGGCTCAGAGCCTAATCAAGAGCGACAAGCTCCTCTGTCTCCATTTTAAACAAAAAAGACAATAAAGAAGAGCAGTATAAACTGATATTGCTTCCATTTTGTTAGCTTTTCCGCCATATTTCTGCATGTGTGGCAGTGAAGCGTGACGGTCACCGATTTTAGGGACCAGTGAACCATTATTAGCATAATGCACAAAACCCGCCTCAGGTTTCCAGTCCCTGCTTTAATATGGCCAGTATTCTTTATGTGGCCACACTTCCCGATTCACTCATCATTCATGCTGATTTTGCTCTTTGTAACAATATTAAAACTAAATGCCACAGCAGTCCTCATTTATGGTTTTTGATTGGCTGGTAATCCCTCAGTTTAAGCCTCAGATTTCTGTATCAACATGCTAACGCCAGTGAGATCTTTGGCTGTGGCTTAGATTTCAGAACCACGGACAGCACTGTTAGCTGTTTGTGGGGATTAAAACTGTTTTCTTGCCCCAAAGATTATCAGCACATGAACCGACTAAACCATTTAATGAGTGACGTTGTTCCCTCTTGCTGGGGCATGCTTGTGACGGTTGCCTTCTGCAAACTGATTGCAAACCGATCACATCCGAAAAGGCTTTGAAACAAAGCATGTTGGACTGTTGCACTGTGAAAAGCTCTAGATTCTTTGTTGTAAAACTTTGCACAGTTGGATTAAAACAAAATGTATTAATATCATGCAGCGTTTGATATGATGTAATTATGTAGATTTAGCTCCAGCAGCCCCATCTCAGCACAGTCTGAGTATTCTTACCTTTTAAAATGGATGCGTTGCAAGTATTTTTGGGGCAGTTTTGTCTTGTTCATCTGTCAAAGATTCCTCAGACACATAATGTCCCTTTGCATGTATTTGAATTTGTGATTCAGCTTGTGTGCGTCCCTGCCACTTGTCGGCGTGGCCTGCGGTGACAGACACTCAGGATGAACCCTCCCTGCTCGTGCCCACAGGGCCCCGCGCTGTAAGACGCAGAGTCCACAGCCTGCAGATTACATCAGAGCACGCTAAAGCCATGTGTATGCAGCGCCCGTGTCTGTGTGTGTGTGTGTGTGTGTGTAAATGCAGCACGGCGCAGCCAGCCCGGTAGAACACTGACATAGACAGCACCGTGCAAATCGCATTGCAATTCCTCCGCTCCGCAGTGAATGGGGATCCATTCACGGGAGCACATCAAACGCCCTCGCTGAGGGTCGTGTCGCACAAATTTCCCCTTTAGTTCTCGATTAAAATGAGCTCGGCGTGAGTTAACGTTTTGCTGAGACAGATTGTTTCTCTGAGCTGGGATAGCATGATAATGAAACCTCCAATCTTATCTGCCACAGATATCTGCCCCGCGCTCCGACAAGGCACTCGCTCATATCCGACAGCGCCCGCCGAGCTCCGTTCTACCGGACGCATTAGCAGGGAGACGCTCTGGTGTAAAATATTGATAGACTGGACATTTGACTTGAATTGCAACAAAGGGCTTACAGACAGAGGAGAGGAGCTTTGGCTTGTGGAAGGGGGGGTTGAAAGAGAGAGAAAGAACAGTGAAATGCCAGCGTATTAAAGGGAGAAATGAGACGTGCTATGACGGGCAGCAGTTGGAAGAACAAAGGCCAATAATGAAGAATACTCTGCCTGGAATGGGAAGCTGCCTCAACAGAGAGATATTTATCCGATAACCTCTGTTCTGCACTCGGAGAGTTTTTTGTAAGGCTGCTAAGAAGCTGCAAAAAAGCCTCATCTTAAAGATTTTGTCATTTGTGTTTTAAATCGTTTTAGTCATGTTTGTGGAACACATTGTGTGTCACATTTGGAATGCACAGTGGTTGCCCGCCGTGGCTGTAGCTCAGGGAGACGAGCTGTTTGTGGGTCTATTCATGGTTCCACTATATGTGGAAGGAGAGGGATTGTTTTATCTCAAATATCAGTTTTCATTAGGGTTGTTAATTGTAAGCATACTTTTTTCATATCTATATTTCTACTACTTTCTGCCTCTTTCTTTCTCTTCTTTTTTTTTTCAGAAAAAGATCCCTTTTTATGGTCTGTTTGCTTCCACCTACATGCCCACCCACTAGGCCTCGTTTCTACAGTTTAGTCCACTGATCCGCCCAAACTTTGTTTTATGCTTGCATTTATGCCCTCTTATACAATACCGGTTTCCTATTTTTTAAAGGGTTGATTAGATTTTTTTTTTATTGCAATTGGGACCCTGTTTATATGTATATAGACTCTTCCCCTGAATAAATGCTGAATGACTGCGCGACAGGCAAGAGTGCAAGTCATCACACCACCTAATCTGATCGCACCGCGTAAGGCAACTTAGGCAAATTAGAGAGAGTCATGCGTGCGTGAGTGCTAATCTGGCATGAACACAGAGGGAGCTATTTAAAGTTCAGTTTCCACTGCGACAAGTCAAATTTAGCGCGGCCTCAGAAGTGTATGAATATCAGTTTATCATGCTGATAACTTATTCCCTTTTTTGTGTAGCAACGCAGGGGGCAAATAGTGAGGGGAAGCACCCCGAGGTTAGAACGGGGAAGTATGTTTTAATAAGCTCGTGGAACATGAGCAAAGTCCCATCCCTCCACATTTTGGGGATTCAGGAGTGGAACGGCAAAGGCATGGCCATGATGAGCCTTGAAAGTGATGGATAACAGCTTGTGTTTATGCTTCTGGTTAAAAGGAAGCGTGTTCAGAGAGAATGCGAAACATGTCTGGGGTTGAAACTGAAGCAGCTTCAAAGAAAGTCGCAGGAGTGCTCGACTCAGATAGCTGGGCGTTTAAACACAACACGCTCCCACGCAACTGCTTCCAAGAAACTTCACAACCAAGGGAGTGATGTTTACTTTATTTCAAAACAGACTTTTAGACCACAGTGAATATGCACATTTCTCTGAGCACTATCGGTACTCACAGTCACAGAGATGCGTTTTTACTGCAGCTTCCATTTGACTCTAATGCCATTACTCTCATCTTCACGTAATGGGCCTCATCATTGTCAGATGGAGCGTGTTTATTGAGGCTGGGTGGTGATACGGTGGAACATAGACAACCTTGTGAACTGTAGCACAGAAAACAAGATGTAAATGTGGGGACGGGGCCTGGCGGGAGTGAACAAGAGAGATGGAAGAAATAAACGAGGTGGTGGGGGCACTAATGTGTCCTTCGTGAGGTAAGGCTGTACCAAAATGGCTCAGCATGGAGCTAAATTGACTCCATTACAGGAGCACTGCACCAGAAAGCGTCGGTGACATCACCCACCCGTCCCAAGACAGGCAGTTAACCACCTCAGAGGGCGTGATTGGAGCATCCTGCGGATGCTGCAGCCACTGTGGTCTGGGCCTGTCTGCTGCTGCTTTGCATGTTGTGTGTCTGTGTGTGTGACGCTGGGAGAGAACAACATGTAATATGATGTCGCATATGCTTGTGAACCAGCAAGCAGTGGAAAGAAGTGCACCTGTAAAACATTTAAGGTGCATTTTCACATGTGTGTCTGCATGTTTTTTTTTTGTTGTTTTTTTAAAGTAATGTGTTATAAAAATGTAGAATTGAGCAACGGTACTTCTGGGAACTTATGTTGTTTGAGGCTTAAAGACACCTACTCACTTTCAGTGGTTCAGTCAGCTCTGTGGGACCGGCCGTTTATTACATTACACACATACACACAATAGTGTGTATATAGCTACATGAGTGTGTGTTGGGTTGTGGTCCCATATCCCAAGTACACCAAAAGAAGTTTAGCTTGGTTTAGGTTTATTGTCCTGGGGGGGGAAATGCCTTGACAAACCAGAAAAAGTGGTCTGTCCGCTTTGGAGTGGAGTGTTTATTGACCACTTGGGGAGTGGCAGTGGTTACTTTAGGGCCTATCAGAGGCCAGCCTTTTCCACTCTTTGTATGTTCATCTTATTCTCCATTTCCGTCAAGATACAACCGTTAACCAGAACAGTCAGGTCGTGCAAACAGTGCCGTGCTGATGTCACCAGATGCGAGTCTTTATCTTACCCTTTATAGCATACATGGTCACAGAGAGCAGGTGCGCTTTGTGCCCGGCACACTGGACCATCAACACCTACACCGGAGGCAGAGTCACGTCTTTTACAATTGTGTGTTAAGTCCTACCTGACTGCATGGATCAACTGCTACACGGTGGAATCCGCATCCACTGGGCTGCAGTGTCATGTGGCTCAGGAACGGGCTTAAGAGAAGGTCATGCTCCCATGAGGCATGGGGATAGCATGCCCCTGTGTCCAGTTGCCGTGTGTGCTTATGCCCTTGCACACACGACGGCTCATGACGAAAACGTGGACAGGCCGGGCTATCTGAGGGAACTTCTCCCATCTCATCTTCAATATGACAACCTCCAGCTTACCTGCTTTTTCCCTTTTTCCATCCTTTTCCTCGGCTTGATGCTTCACTCTGTGGTCCAACTGTTGACTCATACCACTGGGGGCTCCCTGTGAGTTCAGTCCCCTCGTGTTATTTATAGAGTCAGAAAAGACAAGAAGGAAGCTGTAACCAAGACAACTGCAGATACGTTCACACTTTTCCCTGGATTTGGCAGAATGTAAAAGAAAGCATGCAATTATGTTTGCTCCCTCGCTGTGATACAGCAGCGTGATTATAGAGAGACAACACGCACAAGCGGGCGATCACGTCCAAACAGAAGCCAGTGTGGAACAGCCGGGTGGGCCTCTCTGTGAGGCTCCCACTGTTTAGAGTTTGTGCAACACCCCTCTAAAGCGCCGCCTAAAGGCTCTGTCCTGTTCCGTCCCCCCCCCCCCTCAGTTGTGAGTTGGCTCTGCCGTAGGGATGTGCAACAGTTAGGTAAAAAAAGCACAACAAAGGGGGGCAGAAAAATATGCTATGCACGATGGAGCAGCTGATTAAGGGAGGTTAGAGGAGTCATTATGCAGCTGGACGCAGCAGTTAATTAAAAGGAGCACTTGGCAAATCAAGCGTGTTAGACACGCTGAGAGTAAGACGGCGGCGCCTCGCAAACTCTCCGGACTCTCGCCCGCTTCGCTTTTGTCCACCGCCCGTCCTGCCCCGCTAAGGCCCAGCGCCGGACGTCTGATCGCAACGGGATCGATTTCCCCCCGTCTTTTCTTCTTCTTTTTTTTCATTTCCTATGAAAAGAGGAAGACAAAAGAGAGAGACCCACTTGTAGTTAATGCAACAGGATTACACTGTCTTCTTGCTTCAAGTCTTTATCGATGTTTTTTTTTTCCTGGGGAATTACATGGCTGCTGATTTCGGTTAGCTGGGCTTCCTCCTTGAGTGACAGTCATAGATTATTTTGTGCAAACCTTCATCTTTAGAAGGTCATTAGAAAAACGAACACCTGCCTTTCCAAACTGAAGGCAGGGCTCCTGTGGATCATCTGTGGTGTTTGATGTGGGCTGTGGTTAATATTCCCTCTGTTCTTCCCCCTTGATGTTTGAAACTTTAGATGGATCAGTGTCCCCGTTATTATTTCACAGTAAAGTTTCGACTTGGAGTGAGCAGCGGTAATGAAGATTGCTTTGGTGGGTCGAAATTGGCACATCAGATAAATATAAAGGGGCCTTTAGTTCTTTGAAATTCACTTAACCAGTTTTATCGTTTGCCCCCTTTCCTCCCCACCTCCTTTCCTTCACTGTCATTAGTTGGGTAATTATCCGACAGAGCCCCAAGACACAAAACCGGAGCTCCACATTCAGTAGAGAAGGCTCTGTTGTCATACCTGTATTAATTAGACACATCCTGACTCAACGTCTGTTAAATACTCTTAATGTTCCTTCATCAAGTCGCCCTGAAGGAACTCCTCGTTCTGGCCTCCCCGTTTCTCTGCCATCAGTGCCACCGCATCTCTTCATTTGCTAATAACAGCGGGATCCAGCTCCAGCAGTTATTCCTGTGACCCCCATCATTGCAGGGCAGCGCTCCATCATCACAATTAAAGCTTTATGTTTAAGGTCGACAGGTCCCCCGCGCTGCAGGAGGTGAAATGAAAGGCACTGCCCGTTTGAAGACTCCTGCGGCAAAGCAGGCTCAGGGGGAGAACCGGACAGTGGGCAGGGGTAGGGGGATTATCTGTCCTTGCATTTATGCTGATCTGGAAGTGTCCTACCTCAGTATTGGAGAGAAAAGCGGAGGGTATATATTCATGAACAATAAAACTGCCAGATGAAGGGAAACTGGGAAAGGGAGAGTTAATCTGAGACAACACTAAGAAAAAGAGACAGAGGAAGAAAGGAAGGCATTGAAAGACAGAAAGGACATCTTTTGATGCAGATTTGGTCTACCTCTGATGAGAAGACCAACTTTCTGTTTGGATGGACTTCATCCAGATTTGAAATGGGCTGACTGGCATAGCTCTGTAATGTTCATGAATAATAATTTCCTCAGCAAAGAGCAGTGCGCCCAGCTTTATTTGAACAGATCCGGGATTTGTGCCTCACAGGTTAGAAGAAAAGGTGGCAGAAGACTCCCTTTTTTCATTTTCTTTATTGACTTGCCTGGTCATAACATTTTTTTTGTTTGGTTTCAATGCAGGATCATGTGATGATTTAGTTAATATTAGCCACATGCTGGTTTCATTTTGACATGTCACTCATTGCTGTTGTTGGTTGACTCTTGGACAGCCATTCATAGTTTATAGCTTTAATACAAGCCAGAAAACGCGCACGCCTCTTTGGTCTAAATATATCCAGCTGGAGATTAAGTGTATTTTAAGGTGGAAATGGACAGGGTTGTCCCCAGGGGCCCTCCTCTCCCGCTTTATTTTTGTGTCCTGACAGCAGGACTGACTTCGCTGTGCTCTACCTGTCCCGAGAATGTGTCAGACCCCCCCTCATCCCTCTGCGGTCCCGCCCACACCACAGCAAGCCAACATGGCCGGTGGCAAAGTTGGCCTTTCCGCATCATGAAAGAACGCACACACTCAGGAGGAGGCAGGGAGCGGAAAGAGTGCGACACGGTGCCAGGAAATAAAAGACGTGAACCGTAACCTGTAAGATTAATAAGGGAGGAAGTCGGGGGATAAGAAGGGAAAGAAACGCTGCGGTGGGGAGACGGAGGGGAAGGAAAGAAGGGAAAATAGAGGAAAAAATGAGGTGATGAATACAGTAGAGACAGCTGAGTCACTTGGCTTCTGTCTGAATAATCAGATATTGTTATTCATGTGGAGCAAGCTGCTCCACACCGCCATGGGCCATGTGCAAAAGCTGAATGACTGCAAAGAAAGCGGATGACAAGCTAATGGACTTCTGTGGGAGTGCGAGGAAGTACTCACATGAAAGCGATGTGGATTTGCACGCTGTTTACTTAACGACATTTGCACCATCACGGTGGCCGTTTTAGTGTGTTGTTTTTTCATTGATTGTGAGCCCGTCTAAGTAACGCAAGAACAACAAGAGATGAGAAAAGAGAAAGGACCTCCGGGTCTGTGTGAACAGGCATTCTGTGACGGTCTGTGTGAACTTGCTCTCAGTGAAACGGAGCCGGACTTTTTAGCAGCATTTTCTCTTGGATTAAATTAGACGCTCCCTTCTCTCTCAGTTACTTCACAGAGAACAATAGGTCTGTATTACATAGCCACACCAACTCCCTGTGATGTGCACAGACATACTGTATGTACACCCACACCTCGATGCAGGAACATGTCAACACTCCA